GAGCAAACAATCTTGTGGCAGCCGGATCTAGATAATAGGTCATATTTCTCTCTAAAAGATGGCAAATTAGAAGAAAGTGTGAAGGTTTCTATGAACACTGTTTTTATGCCCCACTTCTTCACTAATTCGCCTATCTTTTTTGAGAGAAAACATGACGACGGAATTTGAACATGGGAAAAGGTCTCATTCTGTCTCTCTTTGACTAAATGTTCTCCGTCTGAAAATGTATTCCTCAGTAGTCAGATATTATTCTCAATTAGGCCCAAAAGATAATTATTTTCCATGAATATATTTGTCAGCCGTTATAACTCTTTAATCAAATGTTTGCTATCAGCTAGCCTCATACTCCTAATAATCATTCACTTGAAAATTCCAATCTTTATCCTGTAACTATAGCTGGAAAGAAAATTCAGCAAAGAGCCAATATATGTTGGCTCTCATCTTCCTAAGGAGTTGGAACTGTCGACAAATTTATTCATGGAAAATAAGTATCCTTTGGAGTTTATTAAGAATAATATCTCTTTACATTTTCAGACGGAGACAATTTATTCAAAGATAGGCAAGCTGAGACCATTTCTCATGTCTTCATTTATTATCATGCCTTCCTTAAATAAATATAGGCGTATTATTTAAAAAGGGTGAGATAAAAACTGTGTTTAAAGGAGCCCTCACACTTTCTTTTATTTTTACCATCTTTAAAATATATAAATAAGACCTATTATGGAGATCCGGCTGCTACAAGATTGTTTGCTCTTGTGGTCGATGTTATGTTGGTGAGAAATGCCGACCTATTCGAGAAAGATTAGAACACAAAAATGCTTGTAAAGGAAGCTGGGTTCAACGGTCAGAAGTGGCCGAACACGTGGTAGAAGCTGGATATGAAATAGAATCGTCTCAAACGAGTAGGTTTGCTGCTTATGGCACGTCTGCGATTAAAAGAAAGATAAAAGAGACTATTGAAATTAATAGCTTAGGAAATACGTTAAATGTGAAAAACGGTTGTAAAAAGTTAAGTAGGAACTACTTCTACTTGATTGATAGATTAAAAGTAGAGGTGTTGAACCGCCATCCAAAAGAAGGTGACCAGAATAAAGCAAATTAACAAAACCATCTAATATATATCTAGGCTTTTAATTTTTTGCTTAATTGAGTCTATATACGAGGTAAGCTAGAGCCGGAGAGTCATCTTGCCATAGTGTTAGCGTGATACTTTTATATGAATAAGATGCAGCTCTGATGATGTCCATCATATGATGGATGAAAGCTCAGCACGTTTTGCTCTGAAATAGGGAGGAGGTCCTGTGTACTGCACTAATCTCAACGTCATATAAAAGCCAAACGGCTGCAGTACAGCGCGATTTAACCGTCCTCTTCTGATAAGACCCACCTTCGAATCTCTTCTTCATACACTTTTATGCGGAATGAATATCCCAACAATAATTAGCATATACTCGTGTTTGTACCCATTCATATCTAAATATCTTTTCTTCGTTATGAGTAAATATATCATATAGGATGGAGCTGGCGAGTTTTCTTGACTTTGTATTTACTTCAGACTTGCAAGAATGAGTCTCACCTTCATAATGTGAGTCATTTGACGAATGAAGTCGCAGTCCGTTTTCTTCTGAAAAGAGGATGAATGTCTCGTGGATTGCGTCATTCTGAGGAAAACTGCTATATAATGACGATAATCAGTAGTCGACTTCCAGTAAAATTAATCTACAAATTTCTTCATCATGAACTTTCATATAAAATCTGAGTTTCCACAATCGTTTCACATCATGAGTTTAATATGAAACTGCATTTTCTTAGTATAAACACACTGTATGAGCTTTAATTGCATCATAAGCCCTACTCATCTGAATATTGTGAAATTAAAATATAAGTCATTAAATGTAGATAGAAGGCCAAGATATTGTGGCCTCTATTTTGGTCGCAGTCTCCCTTAGATTCATAGAAGTGGTCTGACCATATTTTCACAACATGCTCGTGTTGCTAAGGGGACCTAGTTTGATGTGCCCTGTCCAAAGTTCTCTGTTATAGTAGTTAAGGCCTAGGTTGGTGTACCAAGACAGGAGTGATAGGATAAATGTTCAAAAGAAAGTTGTTTAATAGAATGACTTGACTTGTCTCTCTTACGAGCTGTAGCGAGGTGTTAAGCATGACAAGAACCACTGATGATATCGACTAGGATGTGGGCGATAAATCTGGGACTATATCAAGTATTCTGTCCAACACTGGGAATTATAATGCCTACTATAGCAGAGGACCTCGGACAAGAAATGTATCACTAGCTTTCCCAGAAAGCATGACGGAGTTGCAAAAACAAGGTAAGGCCACTTCTATTAGTCATTAAGACACATGAGCGATTTATTGGGCATTAATTCAATGTTGACTTGTAACAAACATATTTTAGGATCCCTTTTCACATCAAATGGCCAGCAGAAGTCTGCCTCGCGGGCGGTCGGGAGGTGAAGCAGAAGTTTCTGGCTGGCCAGGCCCATCTGGTTCGGCTGCCTCCGGGATTCGTCGCGAAGATTCTCTCGACCAAGCGGCCATACAAAACAGGTGTTCCGAGATTGTTGGTCCTAGCACTGGTCCCGCCGGCCACATGGATTCAGAAACGCTGCGGCTCGATAGTACCGGTCGGCCGAGTGCCAAAACTCCTGGTGGCCGGCCGATCGCTAGGGCTGCCACCTCAGGATTCACGGGCATCGGCTACTCTCGTACGGATAACATCCAGACTCATCTGCCCTACTATCCCGCTCACCATCCTCATTCACCTTTTGTTCTGGGAAACCCGGGTCCCGGTAGCGAATATGGCAATGGGACTACCTCAAGTCTAGCCGGCTACTCACAAACCGGACCTACTGGCCGCTCCGATCAGGTTCAAATGCGCAACA